ATATATGATCATTATTTGTTGTCATAAATGTTCGTGGTAGGCTTGAATTAATGAAATCAATGCAAGTTGTAAACCGGTAAATTGGTCGTTAAAAGGCAAATTGGATGGTTCCAACCACCCAATTGGACTCCTGAAGGGTATTAGGGATTATGAGAAAAATTTCGGCAATTTTTATTTCCGGGTGAAAAAGTCAAAAAAAAAAATTCCAAAATTGAAGACTTATTACCCACGCATATTGAGAAATTTTGGAGGTTTCAGGCCCGGTGTCGAAAAGTCTTAAAATTCTAGGGGATACATCTCGGGGTCATATAATGTTGTTTGGAACCATATATGATCATAATTTATTGTCATAAATGTTCATGTTAGGCTTGAGTTAATGAAATCGGTGCAAGTTGTAAACCGGTAAATTGGTCGTTTAAAGGCAAATTGAATGGTTCCACCCACCCAATGAGACTCCTGGACGGTGTTAGGGATCATGAAAAACATTTCGGCAATTTTTATTTACGAGCGAAATAGGGTGAAAATTTTTAAAATTGAAGGTTAATATCCACGATTTTTGAGAAATTATAGAGGATTTAGGGCCTGGTGTCAAAAGGTCTTGAAATTATCGAGTATACATCTTAGGGTCATATAATACCGTTTGGAGAAATTCATGATCATTATATGTTGTCATAAATGTTCGTATAATGCTTGAGTTAATGAAATCTGTGCAAGTTGTAAACCGGTAAATTGGCCGTTTAAAAACAAAGCGGATGGTTCCACCAACCCATTTGGACTCCTGGAGGATATTAGGGACCATGGTAAACATTTCAACAAATTTTATTTTCGGGCAAAAAAAGTCATAAAATTCCAAAATTGAAGACTAATATCCACGCTTTTTGAAAATTTTTGGAGCTTTCAGGGCCCAGTGTCGAAAAGTCTTGAAATTCTAGAGGACACATCTCGGGGTCATATAATTCCGTTTTGAACCATACATGATCAATATTTTTTGTCATAAATGTTCGTGGTACGTAGGCTTGAGTTAATGAAATCGATGCAAGTTGTAAACCTATAAATTGGTCGTTTCAAGGCAAATTGGATGGTTCCAACCATCCAATGGGAATCCCGGACAGTGTTAGGGATCATGGTAAACTTTTCGGCAAATTTTATTTCCGGGCGAAAAAAAAATCAAAATTTTAAAAATTGAAGGTCAATATCCACGATTTTTGAGAAATTATGTAGGATTCAAGGCCCGGTGTCGAAAAGTCTTGAAATTATAGGGGATACATCTCGAGGTCATATAATGTCGTTCGGAACCATTTATGATCATTATATATTGTCATAAATGTTCGTATTATACTTTTGTTAATGAAATCCGTGCAAGTTGTAAACCGATAAATTGGCCGTTTAAAGGCAAATTGGATGGTTCCACCAACCCATTTGGATTCCCGGAGAGTATTAGGGACCATAATAAACATTTCAGCAAATTTTATTTTCGGGCAAAAAAAGTCTAAAAATTCCAAAATTGAAGACTAATATCCACGCTTTTTGAGAAATTTTGGAGCTTTCGGGGCCCACTGTCGAAAAGTCTTGAAATTATAGAAGACACATCTCGGGGTCATATAATGCTGTTTGGAACCATATATGATTAATATTTGTTGTCATAAATGTTCGTGGTAGGCTTGAGTTAATATAATCAATGCAACTTGTAACCCTGTAAATTGCTCGTTTCAAGGCAAATTGGATGGTTCCAACCACTCAATGTGACTTTAGGACGGTGTTAGGGATCATGGTAAACATTTCGGCAATTTTTATTTCCGAGCGAAAAAAATAAAAAATTTAAAATTTGAAGGTTAATATCCACAATTTTTGAGAAATTACGAAGGATTCAGGGCCCGATGTTGAAAAGTTTTGAAATTATAGGGGATATATCTCGAGGTCATATAATGTCGTTTGAAACCATTTATGATCATTATATGTTTTCATAAATGTTCGTATATTCTATAGTTAATGAAATCCGTGCAAGTTGTAAACCGGTAAATTGGCCGTTTAAAGGCAAATCAGATGGTTCCACCAACCCATTTGGACTGCCGGAGGATATTAGGGACCAGGGTAAACATTTCACAAAATTTTATTTCCAGGCAAAAAAAGTCATAAAATTCCAAAATTGAAGACTAATATCCACGCTTTTTGAAAATTTTTGGAGCTTTCAGGGCCCAGTGTCGAAAAGTCTTGAATTTCTAGAGGACACATCTCGGGGTCATATAATTCCGTTTTGAACCATACATGATCAATATTTTTTGTCATAAATGTTCGTGGTACGTAGGCTTGAGTTAATGAAATCGATGCAAGTTGTAAACCTATAAATTGGTCGTTTCAAGGCAAATTGGATGGTTCCAACCACCCAATGGGAATCCCGGACAGTGTTAGGGATCATGGTAAACTTTTCGGCAATTTTTATTTTCGGGCGAAAAAAAATCAAAATTTTAAAAATTGAAGGTCAATATCCATGATTTTTGAGAAATTATGTAGGATTCGGGGCCCTGTGTTAAAAAGTCTTGAAATTTTAGGGGATACATCTCGAGGTCATATAATGCCGTTCGGAACCATTAATGATCATTATATGTTGTCATAAATGTTCGTATTATGCTTTAGTTAATGAAATCCGTGCAAGTTGTAAACCGATAAATTGGCCGTTTAAAAGCAAATTGGATGGTTCCACCAACCCGTTTGGACTCCCGGAGGATATTAGGGACCATGATAAACATTTCAGCAAATTTTATTTCCGGGCAAAAAAAGTCTAAAAATTCCAAAATTGAAGACTATTATCCACACTTTTTGAGAAATTTTGGAGCTTTCGGGGCCCAGTGTCGAAAAGTCTTGAAATTCTAGAGGACACATCTCGGGGTCATATAATGTCGCTTGGAACCATATATGATCAATATTTGTTGTCATAAATGTTCGTGGTAGGCTTGAGTTAATGAATTCGATGCAAGTTGTAAACCTGTAAATTGGTCGTTTCAAGGCAAATTAGATGGTGCCAACCACCCAATGGGACTCCCGGGCGGTGTTAGGGTTCATGGTAAACATTTCAGCAATTTTTATTTACGGGCGAAAAAAAGTTAAAAATTTAAAAATTGAAGGTTAATATCCACGATTTTTGTGAAATTATGGAGGATTCAGGGTCCGGTGTCGAAAAGTCTTAAAATTATCGAAGATACGTCTCGGGGTCATACAATGCCGTTTGGAACCATTTATGATCATTATATGTTGTCATAAATGTTCGTATTATACTTGAGTTTATGAAATCCGTGTAAGTTGTAAACGGCGGTAAATTGGCCATTTAAAGGAAAATTAGATGGTTCCACCTAGCCAATTAGACTCCCGAAGGGTATTAGGTTGCATGGTAAACATTTCGGCAATTTTTATTTTCGAGTGAAAAAAAAGTCAAAGAATTCCAAAATTGAAGGCTAATGTCCACGCTTTTTGAGAAATTTTGGATGTTTCGGGTAGAGTTATCAATTCGGGTAAACAGTTCAGGTTTGGGTCGGTAAGAGTGGGTCAGGAAAACTCGGGTCGGATCAATTTAGATTAATTCAATAACCAATGCGGTTCAGGTTTCGATTGAGTCATGCTTGAGTCGGGTGACGTCGGGTCATAGTTCTTATCGTGTTTAGGTCGAGTTGATAACAAATGGGGTTACATTCGGGTCGGGTGAACAATAGGTCGAGTTTAATTCGGGTTTTCACGGGTTAGAGTAATTCTCAGGTTCGAGTCGCGTTCGGTTCAAATCAATAATTTGCGGGTTATAATCAGGTCGAGTAATTCTCGGGTATAAGTCGAATTCGGTTCAAGTCAATAATATGCGGGTTATAATCAGGTCGGGTCATTTTCAAGTCGGGTCATTCTCAGGTTTAAGTCGGGTTCGGTTCAAGTCAATAATTTGCGTTTTAAAATGAGGTTGGGTCATTTCCATATCGGGTCATTCTCGGATTCAAGTCGGGTTATGTTCAAGTCAATAATTTGCAGGTTACAATCAGGTCGGGTTATTTCCAAGTCAGGTCATATTCGGGTTCAACTAACTATAAATAGATAATTATCATTTTTATCAAGCTAATTATTTCCTTTGACTATAATATATATGGCAATATACTAGGGAACTGTAGTCTATAATATAGAAAGATAATTATCTCCTTTGACCATACAACAAATATATACTATATTTAATTCTTAAATTTGAGGGTGATGCTCCTTTTTTTTGCTGGCCTAGACCGACTTGGTCTCCCTAGACAAAATTCTTTGATCAACAATAATAAGGTGGTCTAAATTACATTAAAGGTTATCGATTTGAAATCGGGTCGAGAACAATTTGGGTTGAATTTAGGTCGGGTCAATAACAAGTCGTGTTGATTTCGATTCGGGTTAGTAACAGACCAGGTTAAATTTTTGGGACGGGTTAGTAATAGGTCTGGTAAAATTTGGGTCGGGTCAATAACAAGTCGGGTTGAATTTGGGTCAAGTCAATAACAAGTCGGGTTGATGGTCGGGTTTGTAACAGGCTGGGTTAGGTCAGGTTAGGAATGGATCGGGTTGAATTCAGGGTAGGTAAGTAACAAGTCGGGTTAAATTCGGATTTTGACGGGTTAAAATGAGTTTGGGTCAATTTTGGTTCAAGTCGGGTTTGGTTTAGGTCAATAATTTAAGGGTTACATTCTGGTCGGGTAATCTCCAGGTCAGCTTATGTTCGGGTTTAGGTCTCACATACTCGGGTCAATTCGGGTATAGGGTTGGTTTCAGGTCGGGTTTGGGTCACCATTTTTTCGGGTTCAGATGGGTCGGTTAATAATCGGATTTGAGTCGGTATTTTAGATCGAGTCAACTTTTAACAACTCTACCTCTGTATACCCCTGGATCCACCACTATTGAATAAGTGGGTTTTATCCATTTATAATATACCCACTTACACCCTAACCGACTCGCCGTCATGATTTTGAACAAATTAATGAAATTTTATAAAAGGATGATGGAACAAAATAAAATTGTGATTAGATATAAAATTTGAACAAATCACCACAAACATTACATAGGATACTACAAGAAATTAGATAAACACATCTCTCTTTTTTCCCCTCTAAAAGCATATTATTTGAAAGAAGCTAAGCAAAAGAACATAAATTCAATGAGCAATTTTGATCTCATTTTCTAATTCTAGAAGTAAAAATTACATACAAAGCTCTTGATAGAAGCATCCTCGATCTTAAAAGACATTTGTTTGGAGATCTAGCATTTCAGGATCCATGATTTTTGCTTCCTTCTCTGGGTCAGTGGAGAATGGAACTTCAAGCTCGGGAGGTTTCTGCAAAAATTTTACTCCACATTTAAGATACAATTCTTGTACATATATCGAAACAGCAAACTATGTTAAGAAATACGAGTAAAAATTTATGTAATAGCACATGCGCAGCTTAGAATAGTTTGAATTAATTGTCCTATCGTCTCAAATCCTTGTATATAAGTGTAACATGACTTTACGTAAAGGGCTCTTTATAAAAGCTTTACGTATAATCTTTCGGTCAATTATATTAAAGTAAATTAATTTTTAGACATTACTCGTACAAAATAGTACTTTATCTACGTCTAATGAATATTCTAAAGCTTGACAAGATGAAAACTGATTCTTAGATATATTATGATTAACTTTACTAATTTTGGTTATCAAAAAAAAAAATGACAGCGCGTATTTACCATGCCACGAACAAGAGCCCAATTGACTCCACGAAAGAATGGATGTCGCTTAATCTCATTTGCACCTTCATATGCCCCCAATCTGCTCTTGGGGTCTTTCTGCAACAACTGATAAATCAACTGTTTTGCATGGAGACTTACCTGCAGCATATACATCAGTATTAGCAAAAGTACATTCAATAAGGCTCTTCCAGTGTAAAAAATGATAGAATATGAAGTACAATCAAACAAAAAAAAAAACAGTAGATGGACATAAACCAAGATTTTGACTTCTTTTAGATATCAGAATACTGATTGTTGGTTAGGCCATGATTCTCAATTCTCAACTTAAAGTTCAGAGTTCTAAAGATTGGCTTTTACGTACCTGTTTACTTGACGGAAACTTTAGATTCTTTTGAAGCACGTTGGTGAATGTTTTTTGCCTCGTTTTACCACGGAAAGGTGTGTACCCATAAAGCATCTCATATATAAGAATACCTAAGAGCCAAGTAATGAATACCAAGCATCAAAATAGCTTATCATGATGACTCCTAAACAGAAACAGGTTTCAAATCTATATACATAGCTGGCTAGTGCAACAGGGAAGCGAACGCTAAATTTTTTATTTGCATACTATGGTGCATGGAAAATTAGCATTCCCCATTTTCCATAGAAAAATTGCACAATGCAAAAGGTCAAGACAGGTACAACATTGTAGAGAACAATGGGTATGCTAGCATGACAACTGGGAAAATCCATCAAAAATTCTTCGAGTAGCTAAACTGCTAATTTTAGACACATGGAAACATGAAATACAGTTATGTAGAGTGTAGACTCAGAAAAAAGCAACTTACCTAAAGCCCACCAATCCACAGCACTCGTATGCCCTGCCCCACCAATAATTTCCTGCATTCGATTCAGAAAAGAATGTTATTCACCTTCAAGTGGCAAAGATAATGTGGGAAGATTACATTTACATTTGCCCAGAGAGACAGACGCTCATGCCAACAAATTTGAATAAAGGATGCTTAAGAAGAGAAAAAAGATTTGACCAGTGTCTTTTTCTAGAAAACTTCAATTACGAGTTATGGCTAGACTCAAAGTGCTTCAAAACATAGTTAAGTTGTAGTTGACAGATTGAACCCATGTTTGTCACATACAAGAGAACACATTTGCTATGAGGAAATTAGATCATAATATTAAAGAGCACATACCGGAGCTATGTATTCCTCGGTCCCTACAAAAGAATTTGATGCTCGCATAGGCTCAGCCAAAAATATAGGATTCTGTTGAGCCTTGTTTTGCCTTTTCTTGTCATTGATTTCTGGAAGAAGCAACTGCAAACAGCAGCCAAAGAACCGAATCATATAACAGTATGCCCGAAAGTAAAGCAGCATATTAAACTGTTCTACATTAAATCTCTTTTCATAAACACACATACACAAATATACTACATAAGGATGAATACCTGTGGCATGCAAGATGTCATACATGAAAGATCAAAATCTGTCAAAGCTATATGGCCATTGCTCTGAATAAGTATATTCTCTGGCTTTAGGTCTCTATAGATTATACCTAAAAGTCAACAAAGAAGATAATGTCTCATTTGCTGCCATCCCCCATGGAAGAAAATTTAAAAAATATTTATTGTCTTTAAAATAAAACTTCGTATCGTGCATGTACCTTGGCAATGAAGGTATTCCAGTGCAATAATCACTTCCGCTGCATAAAATCTGCAAAAGAATTGAGAATTTAGTTTATGAACATAAAAGGAATCTCTGGTCAACACTGTTGAGAACCATCCCAGTTTTCTTTCTCTTTGGAGATTGGTGAACAGCTTTTAATCAATGAATTACAGTCAAATCAGTAAGTACCTATTCCTGCATTTGGTATCTGGCTTAAAGCCTATTACTGCATTTGTTAATCTGGCTCAAAATTTACTACTGCAGTTGGTATCTGGCTTAAATTACAGCATTGATTAACCTTGGGAAGATTTGGTGTACTAATTCAAGACTTTTAATAATGATTTTGTGACCTGTATAAGCTGGGAATCTACATGTTACTTTTTGAGAGGGAAAAGTATACCAGAACATAAGGAAGTCTTCTCTCAAGACCGTTTGCTGGCAAATCTAGATAAAACTGTAAAATTAGTCATGGTCTACTATAATTTTGCAGAAGAGAGCACACTCAAAATTTACCTCACTGCATCTTCTTTCAAGACCTTTGTTGGTTGTCTATCCAGAAGTAAAAATAGCTCCCCACCAGGGCAGTAGTCAGTTATCAGACAAACGTGTGTTTTTGTCTGCAAAAATTTACCAGAAATGAATTAATAGTAGTAGATAAAATTAATCAGCATACCAGTCAAAGAATAAAGCCACTATGAACATGGTAATGTTTTTCTATAATGGCAAACAAAAGTTTTCAGATGTAGCGAACATTCAAAAAAATTTAGACTACAATATAGTCATACAGGAGCCAATAACCAACTCTTTCAGGTAATAGCCATATCTAACTCTAAATCTATCTATTGCATTCAGAAATAGCGCAGTATAGTGTGGAACTGCTTTGCATTACCTGAAATGAAGCATATAATGCAGGGAGAAAAGGGTGGTCCAACATGTCAAGAATTTCCCTTTCTGCAATAGCTCTGTGTACCTACAACAAAATTGGCAGACAAAGTGAGCACAGGAAATATATCAAGACACAAGCTTCAGAGTTCAGAGTCAAAAGGTCGAGTTCCTTTAAGGATTAAGGAGTATAGCAAGCACTTCAAAATTTTGACATTAACATATATAATTAACTTATAAGTGACATCAGTAGTGCAGCATCCTATAATAAAAGGTCTATCATGGCCATGTATAATTTGCAGCGGATTGGAGATTGGACTTGAAAGACTGAATAATCAAAATAATTAAATAACTGAACATATAGTATACACTATACAGTACAATAATTTTGATACCTTATTACGATTAAGCATTGCATTTTTATCCATTGCCTTCATGGCGAAATATTCACCCGTTCCACATAATTCCACCAGATGCACACTGCAGACAATTGGGGAAGTTAAGAGACAGTCATTAAAGCACTACAGATTATAGTTGAATATTGCAACTCAAGGATTTAATAGAGACCTTCCAGTGTCACCAGCTCCAAGAGGCTTCACTGGATTAAAATGTTTCAAGCCTATTGGTTCACCACTTTCAGTTACCTAAAAAAAAAAATCATTTTTAATAAATTTAAAAAAGAAAAAAAAAACATATAACAGAAAAAGTATGTTTAAATATTCTTATATGCTTAGTAATATTGCAGGTATGAACTATATACAAATGGATGGGTGATATAATTTTTTTTTTTAAAAAAATATTACATCCTTTACATCTCACCTTTTGAATAGCTTTCCATGAGGCACATTCCTTCCTATGTGGTTTAGCTCGTACAAACTTTGAATGATTTGCCCACAAGTCCTCAGGTTTCTGCAGATGACATTGAATAAAATTATATAGTCAAACTTACAGTTTGAGTTGAAGAGAAATGAACTATTTATCTTGCTATATACTCCTATTGCTCACCTTGTTGGCATCGGGAAGTTCTCTGACTGCAACATCAACATTTTGTGCAGTTTCTTTCACCTGAATTGCATGTAGTGAGAATGTTAAATTTTAGGCCACTTTTGCATAATTGATATCAGTGTACAGTATCTAACAGAGATAAAAATGCATATTATATATGTACACGCCATATCCTCAGTTGGCAAGCACAGGCAATCCCTTAAATCCGAGGATTGTGCTTACAGCTAAAAGTCAAATCAGAGCAATCAAAATTTAAACATTGACAGAAAAGAAGGGGTGAATTGATATGAATTACTTACCAGCTTCTCACTCTCAGTTACAGTAGCTACCGGAATGCTGTTTTGAAGTGGTTCGACATGCTGACTACCATCTAACTGTACCCCAATAAAGTACTGGACTTCTCCCTAATCACAGACAAACACACAAGGAATAATTAAGAGAATAACAATGAATCAAATCATGACATGGGCTTAAGACAATAAATTAATAATCAGTAAGGAGACAATTTACAAACAAATTGTTGAAGGCAGTAAAAAAAGTTATACCTTTTGGTCACGCATGGGCTGTAGATGGAACACATTCCAGAATTTTTTCCCTAAATTCAGAGGATCACAGTCATCAGCAACTTATTTACCAACAGATGCGAAACAGAAGCTTGTTCCAAGGTTTATACTCAAGATTTTAGATGATAAAAATTGATTTAGTGATAAACAGGCCTTTTCCCTTCAGTACTTTATTTCTAGAGTATGGAAGAGTTTACATCATGCAAGTATTTGAATCAATATGGCAAAGATGCTTCAATACAGAAAACAACTGGAATCTTGCAATTACATGATTCATTTACAAGGATTATGAGCAGCAAAAGGTATCATGACTATACAGACATTTCAGCAAGATTATTAGTCACCTGAAGGAAAGCAACTAACTATTATAGCACAAGTAATATAGAGTAATATCTGTTTTAGAACATAGAAGCACTAGGAAATCCCAAGCAAATTCCACCTAATCAATTTCCAACCCTAATGTAAGGGGATGAGGGTGGGGGTATTGAGCAAAGTTCGGAAAGTAAAGAATACCAGTTTTTGTGTAGTTAATCAGCTGAACAGTAACATCTGTTTCATTATTAATTGCATCTCTGATTTTACGTACTGTTTCTGGATCAGTTTCAGGCCCCTGGAGAAACCTGTAAAGTTGTGTAATTGCAAAACAGTATTAAGCATAATGTATACCAAATTTAGCGATGATGTGAAACACATTGACTGATCATGTAGGTCAAATAATAGCAACAGTTTCAAATTTCAGGATCTGATACTTGAAAAAACTAAAGGTAACAGCACGGAACTAGATTCATAAATAACTAAAGCTTGGCCTACCTGCAATTTCTTCCCAAAATCTCTTCACGGCTGTATTCTGTCAGCTCTAAGAAACTATCAGATGCAAATATCTGTAACAACACATATTGTGAAAATCAGTAGAACAACATTCTTCAAATGTTAATATTTTCAATGTTTGTTATGGTCTTCTGGATGAGTGATAAAGTATGAAAAGAAACTTACAATGGGATTATCAGGAAGCCTTGGATCAGTGATGACAAAATTTTTCTCTATACGTTCAAGAGTGGTAGCAAGATCAATACCCTTTCTCATTTCCTTTTTCCTAACTTTATCATCCACACTATCTGGTCTTAGATCATCATAATCAAAATCATAATCTTCATCGTCAGTGCTTCCTTTTTCATCAAAAGTTTCTTCACCATTAATAGGCTCCTCACTGGGCTTAGTTTTCTTCAAAATCCTAAAGCACAATTACATAGGAATATATGTTACAAACTTACAACAAACCATGATTATAATTTAGTAGGAAAACGAGAAATATGAGATAGAAAAAAAAGTTTTGCTTAAAAATACACTTATCCTGTTTGATCCTATTGGTTATCATGGCAAGATTCCCTATAAAAAAATAGCTTTGAAAATAAGAAATCAATACCCCATGAATGAACGGCGTCCAGATTTTTTGGGTTTCTTTTCAGGCACCTCACTAAGCCGTTCCAATGACATACGCCTAGCTGGAGGCACATGCTCTGAATTTCTCCTCATCTGAGACTGTGATCTGTCTTTTTCATCAGCACCACCTGATTTTCTCCGAAAGGGTCGATTCCCTGATTCACTTAGTGCCCGGGGCCTTTTCACTGCCTGCACTAGCTCATTGACCGAATTGGATGCCATGTCTTTCTGGCGGGCTGCAGTAATAATATTGGCATTTGTCATGGTTCAAGCTTAACAGTTTTGCATCATTAATAATTTCACTTAACATGAGTATATTGGAGGAATGATCACAGCATGCCTTAAGAAAATCTCATTAGCATGTACATTGGAAAATGTGATCACTTATAGTAATAACCAATAAAAGTTGCATGACAATATAACTACCTAGGGAAATTCTGATTACACGGCAACGATCCGTTCTGAACATATTTACAGCCAGGTTTCAGATTGCAGCTACATTTTTGAAGGATGAAGTATGAACCAAATTTAGGTCTAATTATGTTCTGTAAGGTAGGGGTCAGTCGGAAGTCCGTGTAGAAAAGTACCAAGTTATAATTATGATAGAACAGAATAAAAGAAAAGCTTTTTAATTTGTTGTTAATGTATCTTTCAATTAAGGGACCAGTCCTGATTAGACTCTAAATGCAAAATGAGAGCATCAAATTGCTGGATAATGCTTGCGGAGATCTTTACCACTTTCTGTAGGATCTTTTAACCTGTTTATTAAACTGTCCCAGTTGCTGAGTTGTCTATGATGTGACTTTTAAGATGATAAAAATTGAAAGGTCATTTACTAATGTTTATATCAAAAAAAAAAAAAAAAAAAAAAGGCAAATAGTTCTAGGATCAAACTAACCATCATATCGAATTAAGGATTCTGGCAGTCCATTGGGACGGACCATCTTATCCTTGTAACCCTCTGTGTGCTTGCTCACCTCCACTTGCATCCTGCCAAATCAGCATTCAATATACATTTAAAAGATAAGTTTCGTATGTTCTATCATTTTCCTACATCTACTAATCAGCAAGCATAATCCAATATACATCGCCGTTGTGATAAAGCAAAGTAATTAATCATAAATGCTGGCATATAAGTTGGGGAATTAGGCAACATGACAATAGAGACTTAAGGCTCATGACTGCTTTATTTGAAGCGTATATTTTGTATCAAATTATCAATATATTCATAATTCTGCTGATTCCTTTTACGTTTGACACGGTTCCCTGGAGGATATCTAAACTCCATCACCATCATGCAACACAAAAGTCAGGCAGATGACAAGAAATTTTCTGTCAAGTCGCTAAGCTAACTAGCAGACATAAAAATGGAAAGTCTTTTGATTTATCACAACAGGAAATGTCTATTATGGCTTATTTAGTCGATAATAGTGCATATTTGAGATCCTTTTTTATGTAGGCTATATGTTTAAGGTCCCACAGGTCACATGAGTAGCTGCATATGTGTTGCTGGTTACAAACTTATAATATAATGTTGGATATATTAACTCCTGTGTGAACAGGTGACCTTTCGATTAAAAACAGAAGAATCTAATGTTTTATAGTTGTAAACCCCAGCCTGTCTAAGGCTCTATTCTAGTTTCTCCACAACTTATTGACAAATGTTTCAGCAGAAATTACTAAAGTTCGGCCTAAATAAAAATAAGCGAAGTTCAATAATTAATTAAATAAAAGAAGCTTTAAAAAAAAAAATTAAGTTTAATACAAGGATTTTCAGTTTAGCAAATACTTCGTACGAGTATATGTTAAGTCGGCAATAGCTAAGGTTGTAACTAAATGTGCATGAATTTATAGCCTATAAACAGAAAAGCAAAAGTACTACGAAGTAGTATACTTACCCTATGTATTTAAGGACTTTTCCTGTTTCATCTTTGATGGGTGTCATAGTTAGAAGGTTCCAGAAAGGTGTACCATCTTTCTTGTAATTCAGCAACCTCCCACAGTAGTTGGTACCCTTCTGTAATGCTTCTCTAATTTTATCCAATTCTTCTGGGTCTGTCTCTGCTCCCTGTAAAAACCGGCTGGCCCACCCAATGAAAAATGAGATGAAATAAATTCCGTTATTACAGTTATTGGGATAGATAATTAATTAAAAAGAAAAATAAAAATAAAATAAAATAAACCAAGTACTAGAAGTGCAATCTTACCAGTTTCTACCAATAACCTCTCTAGAGTTATACCCAGTCATCTTAAAAAATCCTTCACTGGCATACAGAATTGGGTAATCAGGTTTGCTAGCATCCGACACAACAAAAGTTTGTTGAAATGCTGACAAGGCATCCTTTAAATCTTCAGACACTCTTGGGGCGTTCCTGGTGAGCCCACCATCTGATGAATCACCTGAACTCCGAACTGAGCCGCCGGATTCCCTCCTCGAGCTCTCAGGTTTAGGATTCGGTTCATCCCCGCCTGAAGTCCTGACCTTCACACCCTGTGGCTTCCCAGTTTCATCATCAGTTTTGAGTACTAAACCCCACTCAGCTGCCCTTTGCTCAGCCTTGGCAGTACTAGGACCTTTAAGTTTTGATTGATGATCATCCTCTTTTGAAATGGGAATTGCTGGGATGGTCTTGTAGACTTCTGGAGTCGGGTCAGGTAGAGCCATCCATGAGGTGATCTCATCAGACTTGAACTGACTAGAATTGGGGTCGAGTTTTAAGTCATCCTCCTTAACCTGCTCGAGCTTACTTCGTGCTTCCTCCCAGCTTTGCCATGTGGATGGGGACTGAAAAACTGGGTTAGTTGGCCTAGACGAGTAAGTAGATGGGTTGAATACTTCTAGTGAGCCTCGGGAGTCTTTTGGAAACGATGGAACAAGTGAGGACTGCTTGCTGGAACGATTTGATTCCATTATCTGCTTAGAAGAAACAGAACTAATGTCGGTAAACCATGTAATATTGCTTCATTGATCAACTTAAGTAGTTGAGCAAAAATTGGGTCAGTTGCAAGATGGAATAAAAAGGAAGAAAATGAAGATACAAAGTACTCAAGTCATAGGAATAACTCCAAAGAATTAGTGGGAAAACTATACAAGAGGGTCAGAGTGAAAGAAAATATAGTGTAAAAATAATGCAGCCAAAAATTGAAAGAAGGGTGGTAGATGCATATCACAATGCTTGAACAACAAGAACAGGATTTATAGTCCGTGGGGTTGGCTAAATAGACAAGGATGATAAAGATATGGATGACATGGAATGTAAAATGGGCCAATTGGTGCCCACATTGTTTGTGATCACAGGCAGAAAATACAGGGTAGCTTTCACTTCCAAGGATTTTGTCATCCTGTGCAGAAATATCATTCACAAATAGCTTAATGTAATTAAGGTCAATTAACCAAATATTGAAACAGCAATAACTTACAATTTGAGCCATTAATCAACCAAAAAGTTTCTGTATATTCTAGATTAAATTTCAAGCTTGATGACTCTCATACATGGATATGGACATTTGACCATTTGTTTTGGACAGAAAATATGGAATTGACATAAAATAGCCGAGTTTGACACTATGACACAAACACCAATACTTAATACTCGAGTCCAGATAACATAGGTCGGCATTGTAGAAATCATCTATGCTTTAGTAAAAACTGAAAATTCTCTGGCTATTATGTGTTGCACAAATTTAATACGTATGCCCCACCTTATGGGCAATCCTTTTGGTGACACTTTCTCCATGTTGTTATGTATTTTGGTCAGACTATAAATAATGACAAAGACAGACTGGTAAAGAAATGAGAAACATAACTTTACCATGAATTACATGACCAACAGTCAAAATCTTCATCACATGATTACGAAATTGATAGCAAACATTACACAGTAAAAATAAATAAAGCTCGAGAGCTACAGCATTATGGATTGTTGCAAAAAATAAAGACATCAGTAGTAGTAGACTAGTAGTATTACCTTGAGACTCAGACGGTGACTTGACTTGATGATAGAACTCAGCTCAGGTAGTCAGGTATATCTATCTGATGATAAGTTACTCAGCAGAATATATAACATCAGCATAAAAAGAGTAAGATTGATTGCTGCGAACAATCAACGAGGATGGAGCTTCAGTGGATTATCAGAAAAGAGCATAAAAGGGCCACACCTCCCCCATGCTTTGCAATGCTAAGCTTCACATGGCACTGCTTTCGAGTTCCTGCCCCATGCCCAAAAAATTTGCACCAGATCATATGTTACAATTATAGTGTAGACAGGCTAAGACAGCTAAATTCCGACACTCTCATCTAATTGGTTATATGTTAATGTAATGTAAAGGAGGGGCAAATCACTAGTACAACTACCGAGAGTGGCAAAGACAAGAGTGGGGGGCCTTAGCGAGCACGTTGGACACACAGGCTCTTACCAGCAGTCAGGTTGCATTCAAAATGCTTCCCATCCTCCTACCTTAGCTCAGTGTTCATCTTGACTAGTCAGTTATCTTAATTACTACACACCAAACTATGTAGAACCCATGTAGATTCTACACCACATGTTAGCAAGATACTTTGGTATGTTTTGTAATTATCAACTAATATAACTACATTTTGGTGAACGATGTAGTACAAGGCATACTGTACCATAATATTCTGTCACAATGAAAAACTACTAATCACCCAATGCTAAAATATCACATAGATACAAGAAAGATGAATACTTAGCTAATACTCCGTAAATAAATTATACATAGTACTAATTGATTCTTCTAGGCGGTACATCTACGTACATTACTTCTATATACGTCTAGAAAATTATTTAAAAGGTTTGATTTAGGCCTAAAGTATCATCCACAAAGGCTATAAGAACTAAATGTGTAACATATGTAAATTACTTTAACATTACACAAATATCCTGAAATACTTGCCTTCATATAAAAAATTCTGATTAACCAAAACAAGATTGTGTAACAAGATTATATTATTAGTTATTCTATTTTTTATGGAAGATTATATTATTCTAATTCTACCTAAGCTTAACTCCCAAATTGATGCATAAAACTGATGAAAATATAAGAAGCTTAAGACTTGGTTCATTTAGCAAGTGCAAACAGATAATCTTGCATTTCTCCCAACAACTTAAACAAGAACTCATTAAAAGCAATTAATTTCTACTAAATTAACTATGATTTCCAGAAAGGCCAAAAACACCACACAAATTCCTCAATAAACAGTGGTTTTAAAAAGGACACATTTTGTTTACTAAAAGAATTTCAACAACAAATATTATTTATGTAATTATATAAAAGGAAACTTCTAAAAATTGACAGGAACACTATACTAAAATTAATCCTAGCCTCAAAGGCTCAAACATAATACTAACAGTAAATTTAAAGTAGTTGATAGATGGAGACACGTACTATGACTACTATCCAACACTAATGCAGTAATGTCGTAACGTTTTTACCAATTGAACTAGTTGACATACACAAGTACACTCGGTCATGAATACTATCCAACACTAATGCAGTAACGCCGTAAAGTTTTTACCAATTGAACTAGTTTTTACCAAAAACCACTCATCTTATTCAATTTTCCTTAAAGAAACTCAAAACTAGAACGATTTAGGACTATAGGTACATCTGGGTGTGTAATTAGCGCGTAATTATGGTACGAGTACGACACTGTAGCCAAAAAAATCCTACTCAGAGGGGTCCCAAAGCACGTGCAGAAATAAGAAAAAACAAGAGCCTAAAAAACAAACCAAATAAAGAAATAGCACTGCCTCTTATCTCCTCCGGATTGTCCACTGTCTTTCTGCATCCACCATCACATCATATCATTCATGTTTTCTGCTCCAAACATTCTCCATTTTTGCCAGCTTCATCTACAAGCGGAGGCCCAATAGGCCCAACTTATTTGGGCCTGGCTGAAGTTGGGCCTAGAGATTCAGACTGATAAGCCCATTGATTTCGCAGTTCAGCCCTTTTATTTCATCACCTGCAAAAATGATAAAAACAAAATTCCAAAGTTATAAATAAATTGGGAGAAAAGAATAGGAAATTGTTGGAGGAATTTAAGGAAATTGATTGGAAATATACTCAGAATTTACAGTAACATATAAAGCTGCAACGAATTTAATCGGAAATTAGGGTTTTGTGATTGGCGAATTTCGAAATTGAAGAACGTTCGAGTAATTTGGGAATTGCTCTTTAGGTCTCTCTCCTTCTTGATTGTTAATGCGGAATAATGGAGTGGTTTGGAGTTGAGTTGCAACTTCATTTCAATAAACTGAATAATGTACGTAACTAATTGGGATAGTAGTTGGGGATCCCCAATTTAAATCACATTAATTTCCTAACTATTTTTTTTACTATTTTTTTTTTTATCCAAGTTTACATTTTAAAAAGCCCGGTTTTGTCAGTGAATTGTCCTTCTACTAAACTTATTTTTGTTGAAATTAAATTATTTAAAAAAATTATAAATTAAAATTTTAAAAAAAAAAAACAAATTAACTAAAATTATCTTAATACTTCGTGAAATAGGTGAGGACCTCACAACCTTTTATTCCGAAAACGCAAAATGTTTGGTTAGCAATTTACCACGATATTATCGTTTGTGAAACCCACTTAAGGAGTACTACGTATTTGTTACCTCACAAAGTCTCAAGAATGCAATGTGCATTGAATACTAACTAATATTGCAACAAATCAACAATCAAACATTGCAATTTTTTTTATACGAATGAACATCATACTACCTAGTCGGCTGGTCTCGAGACCAACTAACAACAACTGATCAAACATTGGTTTTTTTGTAGCCTATTAGATGGTTGATGGACCAGGTTAATCCAAGTCTATCTAGGCCCAATCCGATTATTGGGTATTGGGCCCAACACTAGGCCTGTATGAAACAAATTGAGTTATGACTGGGCCTAGTCCATAACTCCACCTAGGGTGACAATTACTTAAATTAACGTTAAACATGTTAACATTTAATATTAAAAAAATATAACTTAACCTGATCTACTATCTACACTATATATATAATTAATAGTTGGTTCGTGGAGGCGGATGCACGATCCACATGGTGCATCCGCTCCAAAATACAAAAAGGCGGAATGAACATTCAGATATATACTAATGAACATGGTCATATAAAAGAACATAGTAGTCATTTATGATGTACATGGACATATACATAAAGAACATAGTGTTCATTTGTAATGTACATCAGTTTTTTATGCAACAATTTTGTATATATATTTTTTTTAAAAGAAATTTTGTATAATGAAATAAATAAATAGTACTATAATTAATTTTTTTTACCATACATTAATTACAAATTATTTCAATTTTTTTTTTTACCAAAAGTTCACTTTCTCTCTCCAAACAAAACTTCAAACCCATTTAATTTCCTCAAACCTCAAACAAAATTTCAAGAAATTCGAAATTTTTAGCCCAAGATGACAAATAAAAATGAAAGGTAAGACCAAATTCGACATTTATACTTGTTTATTTGACATTTATACTTGTTTATTTTGAGTTTGAGTGTTTGTTTTTTATAAATTTGATTGAAAATTGTAATATTTGATTTTATTGAAAATTAATTGCGATTTTGATATAATTTTGTTGTTGCAATGAGAAATAAAATGAAATTCTTGAAGAAGATCAACCGATTAATATATTTTGGAAGAAGAAAGCAAGCAAATAGACAAATTTAGAAAAAGTTGTAGATCCAAATAATACAATGTACATTAAAATACAGTAAAATGTTCTTTTTTCATATACTTATATGATGCAAATAATACAATGTACATAAAACATGTAACCAACATTAGAACATATATGTTCATTAGAATATAATACAATGTACATTATAATACAGTAAAATGTACATTTTCATATACATACATGATCATTTATACCAAATGTACATTTACTATATGAATAATGTTCTTTAATATTATCATGTTCTTTACTAATATTATAAATGTTCTTTAGATTTACAAAAAAACATATAAAACTAGATGAGCTATATGTTCTTTACAAAACAACTATATGTTCTTTACCGAATAGCTAAATGTTCATTCCGCCTTTTTTTAAAGAACACTGATGCACCAAGCATGGTGCATCCGCCTCCACAGATAAAATTTCACTATATAATGATTATAATCTTTTCTAATACTAAAATAATTTACTATTTAATTTCATGATATACATGGTAAATTATACGAAGTATTAGATAAATGTTCATACAAACATAAAACAAAATGATGTTGCAATTGCTATTTTATTATTGAAGCATAATTATACAAAAACAAAAAAAATTGAATTACATTGGTTTTTAATTTGAAACAAAAATAAATTTATAACAATACTTTCTATGCAATGTGATTTAATTTTATTATTTCCGAACATTTGCTAGCAAAATGGAAAAAATACAAATTAGATTATGTAACAACTCGGTATTTACTTTATAGTTTCATGTTCTATAATGATTTTAATTAATTGATAAGTTTTTTGCCACAACTCACTTGTTGCTTAGCTTTAAACATAATAATAAAGCTAGAGGGCAAAAACTTAATATACTACTATATATTTTAATTAGAAAGATTAATCATATGTAATGATCTCAATTTTTGTCTATGGATTTATCTACCATACATATGGTATTGTTTATAGAACCTAAATTTAGTAAACATTATACAAAGGCCAACAATTTTATGTCCAAGCTGTATTTACTAATCTAGTTTACATTTTTCCTTTGGATTCTCTTGTTTGTTTTTTTGATTGTCATCCTCCTTTCTCTCTTTTCCACAATCCTCTTATTCGGTAGCTCTTTCATTCATAGAGAAAGAAGGAAGATTTTTGTCAAAGAGGTTTCAAAATTACAAATTGTAATAAATTATTAGAAAGAAAATTGATCTGAAAGAGATATACAGCTTAGTGAGGCTACCCTAATTGCCTAGGGTCCCACCCCGGTTTGCATTCGGGGTGGGAAGGGAGGAGGCTACTAATTGGGTTAAAAACATTATGCATGAGTATGCCTTGTATGTAAGTATCCTGAGAGAGGAACCTAAAACAAGGCTTGCACTCAGATCAACCTTTATATTAAGTACTTCTCCCGGTAATCCTGAGCCTAACATTATTTGAGTTTTATCATTTTTCTAACAAAGACCATCATGAGAGAATGGAATGCAACATGGTTGTCACCGGTTTGCCTTAAAATACCACCATGGTACCCTAGAACACATTTGGTAGAATTCCCTACTATAGTATTGCTAATTCAAATGTTGGTTGTCTATTGTCTAACTCAAGCCATACATCATAGCTCATTCAAGCGTTTTGGCCTTCCTCCTCTTGCTTCACAATTAATGGTATGCTCTCGATTCATTTACCATATTATTGTGACATTGTGTGTATACTAATTATATACAATTTATTTAATTTGCTATGAATCAATTCGTGACTTTAGGATAGATTTTGTTGTGAAATTTCTTTAGCCCCTCATGTTCAAGTAGATGAATTTCCTAGATTATATCCCTCTATGATATAAACATATATGATTGTACTAAGATGATTAGCTTGACCTATAAGGTAGCATAATTAGCTAGCTAGATTAAAGGGGAAAAATTAAAGCCATTACTATGTATGTTAATCATAAGAAATACTTTGAGACCATTCAAACCTGTTTATTTTTAATTTATTACTTGTGTGTTGTATTAGTGTTTTCACGGATAATGATCATATACTATCTTATGGTGATATATAGGCAGGTGTTGTCTTAACGCCGGAGATATGCACAACTCATATTAAGCCACTGAAGGAAGCTCATGAACTCATATTTCCTATGGCAAGTAATGAAGTATGGAAGTGTATATCTATGTTGGGTTTTAGTTTTTCTATATTCATTATCTCAGTTAAAACAGATTTTACCATCATCATGAAAACTGGCAAAAAACCTGTAATAATCGGACTACTAGTTCCCACTCTCACAGGTGTTGTGAGCTTAACAGTTGCGGCTTGGTATGGTGGATTTATTCGAGTAGTCAGTGATCAGAAGCAACTGAGCGAACTTTCAGCTAGTGCATCAGTCTTAGCATTGTCTACATTTCCTGTCATTGCTGTTCTTCTTAGTGATTTGAAGCTTCTTAACTCTGAACTAGGTAGATTAGCTTTGTCTTGTGGGATTGTTGGTGAGATTGCGGGCATTGCTCACACATTAGCCTTGAAACGAATACTTAGTACTGTAGATCTTCTTCAAAAAGAGAAGACACATGAAGTTCTTCTATATGTTGGACGTCGTGTTATTGGCCTTTCTGTGTTTGTCCTCATTGTAGTATTCATGCTTCGACCATGGATGAAAAAAATAATAAAAAAGACCCCTAAAGGAAAACCCGTTAAGGATACTTACTTGATTCCTATATTTTTGTTGATGTTGTTAGGAGGTCTTGTAACAAATATTAGTGGGGAGTTTGTGGTAATTGGTTGTTGGGTTGTAGGAGCGGCGGTACCTGATGGACCGCCTCTAGGATCAGCTATAGTTGGTAAATTTGACACCTTTGTCTCGGGAATTCTTCAGCCTTTTTTCATAACAATGTCTACCATGAGGGCCAATGTGTTTAAAGTTAACTTTCAAGACAAAGTCATTGATGGTGTAATCCTTGTCACTTTGTCTGGTTTTGCTACAAAGATCGTTATATGCCTTGCGTGTGGGTTGTACTATCGCATGGAAATCTCAGACGCCTTGGCACTCGCTGCCATTATGTCTTCCAAAGGGATTGTCGAAATTGGGATCTTTAACATGTTTATTGATTCAAGGGTACGTAAGTTATTGTAAGTAATCATTTTTCTTCAAATATTATATATTCAATCCTAACTTGAGGTATTTTCTACTTTTGGCAGCTAATTAGAATCTCAACATGCGCCTTTTTAATGGTTGTCACAATAATTGTTGCAATTGTTATACCCATCATAGTTAAGTGCCTTTATCAACCTCTAAGGAAGTATGCAGGATATCATAACAGAGATATTGTGAGTTGCAATCTTGAAGCTCATCTCCGCATCCTTACTTGCATTTCGAAACCAGATGATGTGCCTGCATTTGTTCATCTGCTCACTCTTTCTAACCAAGCCACGAACAACATGATTGTAGATGTTTTACACCTTATAAAGCTAGTTGGAAGAGCACAACCCATATTTATATCTCATGACTTACAAGAGGGAAATTCATCAGAAAACATGTCTTACTCTGAAGATATGATTTCAGCTTTTAACTCATTGATTCAAAGAGCTAACATGGAAGACCTCTTTATACACTTCTTTACAACAGTCACCCCACCTAAAGCAATGCATGATGACATATGCACACTCGCACTTAACAATTTAGCATCACTTATCATCTTACCCTTCCATAGAAAGCTAAGTACTCTTGATGGATCTGTCGAGTTTGAGGATTATGGGCAGAGAACCCTTAACAACAGCATGCTCGAACGAGCCCCATGCTCTGTAGGGATCTTCATTAATAAAGGAACATTGAAGCTCCCTACAGTTGAGTCCTCAAACATGACCTCAGTAGTTGTACAATCCCAACCTGAGCAAAATCAGTTCTCAGCAGCAGTGATTTTCATAGGAGCAGATGATCAAGAGGCGGTAGCATATGCTAAGCGCATGGCCTCTGGACCAATGGTATGGGTGCTTGTCATCCGATTAGTTGCTTCCGAAGATGAGACCGAGCTTGATTCCACCACAATTTCGGATATCCAACAGTACAAAGAGATCAAACAACAATTCAACTACTCAGAGCAAGTAGTCCATGATGGTTCACAAACTGCAAAAATGTTAAGGTCTATTGCAGAAGACTTTGACCTTATCATCGTAGGAAGATCACACAATCCAGAAAGTCCTCAACTTTCTGGTTTACAACAATGGAGTGAAGTACAAGAACTTGGTATCCTTGGAGATATCCTCGCCGCACCAGATTTTCCTGGAAAGACATCAATTTTAGTGTTGCAACGACAAAAGCAATGGTTATCTAAAGGCTATAAATATAGTTGAGTGCTAGTAATTTTTTTGATACTTGTACATACATATGTTATATGTATCAAAGTTTTTGGTATAATCTTTCAGGTATGAGCTGATGATGATACTTCTTATTTATATTTATCATTACACCATACTGCGGTTTGGTTAGTACAGAGTATTCTTAGGTATAAACATGAAAATTACATGTAGAAGTTAATATGAGCAAATTCTTCATGACAAACTCTTCATAACTTTATTTTCTTGAAGATTATACTAATCCACATTTTTTATATGCTCAACCCTAGATTTCTCATCGAAAGATCATCTATATCAACTTTGTAGTCTTGTAGAGGTAAATGTTTTTAATTGTAATAAGCTATTTAATTTGTTGCTTTGGTAAATTTTCTAAGCTATTTGTTGCCTTCTTTCTTTATTTGTAATTTATTTGTTTAGTATTTTGTAATCCATTAAAGTAATTATATGGAAGGAAGTGCATGTGAAATATACTTGTATTATTCCAGAGTTTCACGTACATTTTCTAAACTATTAGATGTGTTAAATGTTATTGATCGAGGTGAACTTTTTTTTTTTTTTGTTAAAAACCTAATTACTCAGTAATTTTTTTTTACTGATATTATATTGTTTCCTTTATTTCGTATTTAGGAAGAAAAAAAAAGGAAAAAGATATATGCAGCCCCAAAGGCTGCATATAAGAACCTAAAAGTGGAAAGAATTGACAATAAATATACAATTATTACACCGATTTACTCGCAAATTGTTGATAAATTCCCAATTTAATACTAAAAAGGAAAGATATTAAATGCTTATATGCATCCCTAAGGGCTGCATATAGCATTACCCAAAAAAAAAAAAACTCAAAAATTGAAGAATTCGCATGAATTTTGGATCATGTCAATTGAAACTTACAATTACTTTCAAATTTTAAAAAAGTTTGTGCCAATGCACAAAATTCAAATGCTTTGCAAAATGCAACATCTTAACCTTCAAGACAATTTACATCTTGTTGTCTTAGTCAAAATTAATTTAGGAAATTTTTTTACCATTGCATTAAGCTAATGTAATTATTGTAGACAACAAATCGCTAATTTTTATATATCCTTCATATGTATGTATATGTTTTATTTGCTAATCTAATACATAAATCTTAGATGCATCATGATGTGTATTTCATATATAAAGTGGATTAATTTAGACATATAGTTTTTTGAAGTGATAGTTGACATAATTGATTTAACAAGTTTTGACAAGTGAACATATATATGATCTGTAAAAGTGGTAAAAGCAATAGACTTTCGAAGTTGTGATTTAGGGAATGAAGATATATAAATTAATGATTGCCAAAAACATTATTGTTTATGAAAATATGTGGAGGAGAGAGACTGAGAGTGAGCGAGCAAGCTGGAAGCTTGAATCCATGTGAATTGTGAAGACTCACTTCCATTAAAGGATTTGCCAGCTTGTTTGGCATTACATCATACCTTCGACTTGTCGTTATTTAACTACTTTTTGTGTTTTTATTATTTAACTTCATTTTATATAATATATACCCGCCAAAAAATATAAAATACTACCTCTGATTTTTTTAATTGCAACTTTGGAATATTTTATATTTCACAAATAATACTCCAAAGTTGCAATTAATAAAAATCGGAGATAGTATTTATTTTATATATTTCAAAAATGAAATTAAATTATTTATGCTTATTAATAATTTCATCTTTATAATCAATAATAATACTATCTCAATCATATTAACCAATTGTTTCAAACTTTCCATATGACTAATTCAAAACTTAAGCATCTATTTCGATCTCTTATCTTCAAATTATTGGACATTAATTATTTAGTTATCTTATTAATTACTTATTAGGGGTTTGCATGCCTTCTAGATTAGTATTTGGCTTTTACGTCTAGTCAAACAGCTTCTAAAATAAATGTGCTTGATGAGTGATTGATTATTCAAGCAAAATCAAAATTATTAAGCAAAATTATTATTAGAGCATGCATGCATGTCTAATTGTATATGATTTACTAACAACCAATCTAATTTTATCAAGCATCAATTTTTTTTTTCTTTTTGTCAGATAATATAAAACTCCTCGATTAGAGTGATTTCCATTGATCAATATTTATAGGGTTACAATGAGAAACCTAATCATATTAGGTAACTGTAAGATATGTACAGATATCAAAGATAATCTTATACAAAATATATCCTAAACCTAGGATGAGAATATTCTATGGATATTCTCTATCACACCCCCGTAGTCAGAGCGGGAGAAAATCGGATGCTCAGACTGGATCTGAATCACGCATCGAACGGTAAGGATAGTATAGTAACCCATGATCAAAAGAGAAAGTAGTAGAAATGTGCCGATGATGGCGAGAGAAGCAACAGCCACGACCTACATAGAGTAGAGATAAGCACTGCTAGGCCGGAGGAGAAGGAGAAGAGCCGCACACAGACTTGGGCTAAGTTGCAGATCTAGAGAAGAAGAAGCTAAGGGATCAAACCATCATCGGGAAGAAGACACTACACTACTACGTGAAATCACAGTTGAAGAAAAATAAATAAAATTGCGCAAGAAAAGATTAAATCCCACCGCTTGAAATTAATCAATTCTCTGTAGAGAAACCAGGTAGCAAGAAGTAATACTCCACAAAGATTCCAAGTGCTGCAACAATAAAAGGAGCTAACTTGATAGCAAAAGAGATGTGCAAAAGTTGACCTTATTGTGATATACCACCACCCAAACAAAATCTATGTGATTATGTGTTAAAAAACCAATGAGGCAATGTAAGAATCATTGTTGGTCATGGGGAGGTGGAAATAGAGTGCGGCACATGGAATAGGTTGGCAGATGTGGTTACTGCCAGTAGTGGGAGGCGGTAGTGTATGCGATTGCCAACAATGATGGAGGAGGCTTTCGCGATTGCTACTGTTGGTGGGAGGCGCAAGATTACATAAAGATTCTAAAAATAACTTTGAGAAAAGAAAAAAAAATCTATATGTGTGTTTGCGGAAGCATAAAAAACTTTGTATATCCCGCCGGTGGATTTAATTTTCTAACCCACCGGCAGGGTGAGAATTTTTGTATATAATCCCAAGATCTAACCTAAGCTGTGATACCATGTCAGATAATATAAAACTCCTCGATTAGAGTGATTTCCATTGATCAATATTTATAGGGTTACAATGAGAAACCTAATCATATTAGGTAACTGTAAGATATGTACAGATATCAAAGATAATCTTATACAAAATATATCTTAAACCTAGGATGAGAATATTCTATGGATATTCTCTATCACTTTTTGGTACGTACAAAGAGTCAAATTATGACAATGATATGATATAATCTCAACTTTTGGGTACCACTCTAATAAGACCGTACCTTAACAAAGATAATGAGTGAAGGAAATTACAGGTAAATTAACAACACGTTAATTCAAATAAATTAAGAAGCTCGATAGTTAATCGATTGTCAAACTAGGGTATTAGGTACACTTAAGCTTCCAAGAAATTATACAACAACAGTCCAGGAGGGAAATACAAGGGGTTCGATCATGACTTGAGCTGGATAAAATAAAATTCATAGATAGATCTTTCACACGTTTACATGTAAAGGGAGTATCATGTATTATGTGCATTTTGTGCATCATTACATCATAATACTAGTAACATTCTTTGTATTATTCAACTTGATGATTAATTAATTTGATTATTCATTATAATAATAATGTGGAAGAAATGTAATATATGGAACACAAAATTGGAAGCAATGATGAAGACAAATTCCTGAGTTATATTACACATCTACCACAATTATCTCCTCAGTAATATCTGTACGGAGTAATTAACAATTTTGATGATCATAAAAAAATATCCATGTATTCATGCATGTAATCTGAATACTTGCATGATTAATTATTATTAACTTTATCATTAGCACCTAATTGATCCTACCAAGATTTATATTTTGACCATCCCAAAAAATATAAGGAGAAATGAATATACATAAATTTTGGATCATGTGATTAGAGAACTTAATTATTTTCAAAACACAAGTACGGAGCGGGTTTAAGAGTTCGTGCCCAGGCTTATTAGCACAAAATTCAAATGCTTTCATGGAGGAATTTATATTCATCCATGCATAATTATGATTTATGATTATGTTGACATTTATACACTACGAAATCACTTGCACTTCCAACACTTACGGTTTTTTAGTTTAGTATTTACGGATCAGACCAAACACTTGAGATCGAGTAGAGGGGATGCTAAGGGAATCTCTACCCCAAACACTTCACCGGGTAAGATTATTCAAACCTCTAACCTCAAAAATCTAATTAAGGTAAGGAAACTTACTGAATGAGCCAACACTTTGTTGCATGATATTCACTTGTATTATACTATAATATGTATTTTTCTAACAATATAATAGGAAGTCAAAGAAGAATGAATGAAATAAGCTAAGAAGTAGGCAAAATCAAATACAAGTATGACTTATGGAGTACAATGTTTTGTACTATCACTACTACAAGTTTACAACAATATCGTCGGTCCAATTTTGCTGACATATAATCTCTTTTGAATTACTTCGCATTTGTGTTGCAAAAGAATAAATTATTGTCCTTATTAGCTTGATTAACGATTTCTACTTTGATCTCGAGTACACCTAACTCTAATTGTACCTTAATATCATTTGCTACTTGTAATATCATTTACGAGTACTTCTTTTTTTTTTTTTTTTTTTTTGAGGGGTAACGTTAGCAGAATATTTATTTCAAATTAAGTTCCGCTAAGGCTAAGATCATTTACGAGTACTTAAAACCACATAAATTAAAATTGTAGTGAATATGACTCAAAAGTTGGGTGCAGTGGGAATCAAAAGCCAGCTAAGGTTGGTGCATAATTATTATGCCTAATGTCAACAATGGCTGAATTTGGCTAATAAGTGTGTTTGCATTGATAAACTAATTAAACATTATGTTGACTAAAAAAAAAAATTAGAGTAAGAAATTAAAATGAGCATTTAAAGTTTCAGTTACAATGTATTGTCACAACCGAATTGAATTACGTATAAATACTATATTGCAAAAATAGCTGTCTTTGCCTTGTGTACGTTAAACATCCAATCATTGGTTGATTAATGAAGATAGATATTTTTAAAGGAAAAACAATGGAAGATGGAGAAATGGAAAGAGACATAAAACTGAGATTCAAAGCATTTATTCAAGTTAAGATAGATCCACCAAAAATATTAAAAATTTTCATGTGAAATTTTATTTAGATGCGTCATTTGACTTTGAAATTAAGTATTAGCATACAGAATTCGCGTAAAATTTTAAACATGACAATTAACTGTAAGTGTCGTTTGATGTTTATATCAATGATAATTTTGAATTGGTTTTCTTTTTTCCCTATCGACAAAGGGTTCGTTATTGAATCTTATGTTCAAGTGAGATCGACTTAAGTTATCTGACATTATACATAAAATAAAACGCGATTAATTAACTCTGAAAAAATCAAGAATAAAATCCAAAGTTCTCCGTATTTTTCAACTTTTGGTATGCTCAAATATTTTGAGCTCTCTTTAAGAATTACTCCGTACTTGTACAATAATAAACCCGAAGCTGCCAATATTACAAAGCACTCGGAGAAAAATTAAGCCAAAATGTAATGTAATGTATCCACAATAAATTATAACTCCATCCTCAACACCTTGAAATTTTTGA